AACAGAGAATGAAAGTCGATTTCTTCCGACTCTACCCAAGGCTACTTGTAAAGGATATGGATATTCTCATCCTTGGAATCAACATCAGATGGGGTTTCAGGAGAGGTTTGCTGAGTGGGATCAGAATCCAAAGAAGAATCTGTACTTACATGTTCAGCCTCTCCATCAGTAGAGTGTGTTGATGATGCCTCTACCCCCGTTGCTGGTTTCCCTGCTGCAATCTGAAACAGTGTTGGACTGAATGTCCCGGTTTGGTGCAATGCAGGCAAACTCCTCTCTTCGCCGTGTTCTTCCACTCACTTTCACTAATCCGGAGATCTACCCATGGTTTTGTGGCAGGATCTTCCGGTTTTGGTGGAATCTTTGCTCCCTTGGGAAGAAGGATAGTGTTAGTGTTGTTCTTCATCGTGGTCCTCGGTCCCTTACTTTTGAAGGCAGTCTTTTTAAAGGCATTCATGGATTCATCGTCATTTATACGATCAGACTTATGGGCTGACAAAGAGCAAGATGCCCCGCAGTCTTGCTCTTGATCGTCATCAAGAGAAGATTCTTCTACGAGGTTCTCCTCGTCAGCCTCAAGCAGATCATGCGCTGCAAAACGGTTGCTGCCTGGAAACCGTTTGCGGCCAGTGGCCTTTTTGCCACTTGATCCACCCGGGAGGTCTTGTGCCTCCAGCTTGACTAAGTCCCGCACGAGGGTAAGCCAATCTGTATATCCGCTGAGCCCGAGCCCTAGGCGATCTTTCAGAGCAGAGGGGACCGCACCTTTTATCACATCCAAGCAAGAATGCGCAGTCATCTCCAGATCCGGAGTAGCAAAGAGTTTACCGACATACTGCTGCAGATTGTGCATGGTGCCGGTCCACTTGCTGTGCTTGAGCTTGTCAAGCTTGAGTCTTGCTTTAGCTGCAGCATGTGGATCAGCATATTGCTTGATCAAGAGATCCTCAAGTGTGGTAGTAGGAGTAGCCTTCAACCATTTGTTCAGGTCTATTCTTTTATAGCCTGATTGGACAGCTTGGGTTTCTAGGAAACCCCGCACGACGGGCTCCACATTGGTCCCCAGGATAGACGACTGAGTGGACGGGGGTGTCCCCAATACATCAAAGTAGGACCTCATAGAGCTGATCCAAGACTCGACGTCGTCCTTTCCGTCATACTTGGACGGAATCTGCGCCGCCTTCCTATCGATGTAAGCAAAGCTGCCGCCTGGCCCAGCCATTGCTGGGTCCGGGCCCGGGGCTGCAACAGTTCGAGAAGTCCCTGTACCACCACTTGCCGCTGCAGCAGCAACGGGGTCTGGACTTGCTGCAGATCCGCTTTGGCTGTTAACCACACTCAAAGAAGAAGAAGAAGTAGAAGGAGAAGAAGTAGACGTAGTCAGAGGGGCAAAACTGGATTGACACGCAGCATTGGAGGCAGGATAGGTGAGTGAAGAGACGATTTGAGCCTGTTGCGAACTAGCAAACTGTTGCAGCTGATCGCGGTGCTGCTGCGCCATCTTGGCCATGTCTTCGCGCAACTCCTTGAGCTGCTTAAACACCTGTGCGAGCTGGCCAGTATGGTCCTCAGCAACCCGGACCCCTGCTAAGGCTCTGAGGAGGGGAACTGTTTTCTCTTCTACCTCCTCATCAGTCAGAGCGGACACGGTGCTAAGGACGGCCTCGTGAGCCTGCACCTTATCCCTTCTCTCTCTCTCTTTCTCTTCTCTCTCTCTTTCTCTTCCTCCTCCCTCTTCAAGGCTTTCTCGTAGAAGAACTGATACTGCGGTTTTTCTGCCTCAAGGGCAGCGTCCATCTGCAGTTTCCAATCTGCTGCAGATGCCATGATGGAGGATGAGGGTGTCGGTAAGACTCTCAAGAGGGGTCCGTACTTCCTCTCAGTTTTGTGACGAACGCTCCTCTTCCCTCTCCTCACTCCCTCAAGAGCAACACTCAATAACTTCTCTCTTCTCTCTCTCTCTCTCGCTTGCGACCGTGTAGACGCAGGCATTAAAGAACCCAATGAAAGAAACAGCTTGAAATCATTCAGAAGAGAAGGTAGAACTCCTAGCCGGAGCGGCAATTCATTTGGACTGGAGAGCAGTCAAAACAGCAAAAAAAGAAAAGATCAGAGAGATCTGATCCAGCCACACAGTTTGGACTGACTACGTATGGGGTCCTCCCAAGCCTAGCCAGCCTCAGCGCCGTGAAAACACAGCAAATCAGATTCAAGATGTACAGCGAAATGCAAGAGAGAATTGAGTGGTGTATAAGGTGCGAGTCAGGCGGCGGATTGTGCGGTAAAGTCTGATAAAACGTCCCAGCGGAGATCCCCTCCGCAGCGAGTGTCCTGGTCCGAAAGCATAAAGTCCGTGTCCCAATCAGATAGAGCAACGTAACTGACGTCAACAGATTTGGACTGAGGGGCCCAACAAGTACGTCAACAGATTTGGACTGAGGGGCCCTTCTTGTTGGGCCCGGTCCCACTGAGTCCCAAATGGTCCCAGTGGAGTCAGAACCGGGTCCCAACCAACAAGAGTTCTACAGAGACCTACTCTGTCCCTACTGAATTGAAAAACGAATTTTTTGCCCCAGAAAGAACCTGTAGACTACCGCCGATCATAATGAAATATACAAAGCACTGTGGAAAGATATCACATGGCAAACAAGATACTCCATTCATTCACTCATCAGGCCAGTAGGCAGTTCACACACCTCACACACAATCAAGACTATGGAGGATGGAAGAAGAACCCAGAGAACCGCAACAGGCAGTCAATTCCATGCACACACACATGGGCACCCTGGTGGCACGACACTTACCTGAGTGGCCGGGCTCTTGGGATGAAAAGAACTCACCCCCCTCTCACGTAGTCCTCCTGACCCAATTAGCATCCTCTACACTAGTGTCCTATCATCTAGGAGGGTCAACATCCATCCCAAAGTACAAAGCCGGATCCCCCGTCAATGTTGAAGATCAAAGCAGCAACTTGCAGTCCGTAGGTGCAGATATGGCTGCCACCCTCAAGCTCGCCTACTTGAGGGGAGCCCTAAAGTCACTCCTCATCTTCCCTGAAGTCCAGATTCAAGTTGTAGGTGCCCTTCACTGTCGCCTCTCTCAAATTGCATCACGAAGTCCCACCTTGTGTCTTGCCACCATAAACATGCACTCAAGCAACCTGGCCGGGTCTAGTGTCGACCCTACACGGCCCTGCCAGGTGGGRGCAGCTTCCCTTTACCACGCTGCCCCACTTAACCCTAACTTCCAGCCCTAACCCTAAGTGGTAGCCCTTACCATTAGGGTTAGGGTTATGGCAGCAAAGTCAACTCTCGCCAACAAGTAGAATCCGCTCCGATACCAATGTTACGATCCTGGCCACTTTTGAAGTCCACAATCATCAGA